AGATATTGATATTGAAAATTTAGAGAAAATTATTGCATGATCAGAATAATACTAGACGTTTTTATTCAGATATTATTATTTTTAAATAACGAAATGATCAAATTTTTATTGTTCATTACTATCATTTCATTGGTCTTTTCCATTCAAGAAACCACAACCCACAGTGACTGTTTAAACCAATATTGCAGTGCTGAAGTAGAGGCTTGTAGAAAAGATTAGACTTGGTAATGAATATAATCATTTATTCTAGTAAGAAATAAATATCTAATTGTTATTAGACAGCTATGGATGATTTATCACCTGCTGGAATCTAGAGAAGTAAAGCAGCTGTAATATTCTTAATTAATTAATTAGTATGATTTATGTTTAAGTACTAATTCTTATGCGAAAGTATAAAATTTAGCAAAATGCAAGTAGAGAAATTGCCCAAATAAGTTATTAATCATTTGATATAAAATAGATTAATTATATATATTTCTTTAATAATAAATAATTAATGCAAGTAAAATATCAAGCTGTAATTCTTGGAGGTGGATAACAAGCAGGAAATATGTTATTTCCACTTTGTCAAGATTATTCTAAAAGTCTATTGCCAATTTGTAATAAACCAATGATTCTCTACTAATTAGATGTATTAGAATCAGCTGGATTTATACCATAAGACATTTTAATTTTGATAACTAAAAATCATTAAGTTGTGGCTGATTTAGTTTAAAGAAGAGCAGAAATATTTTATGTTAGTGATAATTCAGATTCAGGATCTGCATTATTAGAAGCACATGAAAAAATTAAGAAAGATTTCATACTTCTGTCTTGTGATAGTATGATTGGTGCCAATATCTTAAATTTATTGGATTTTCATTATTCAACAAAAGCAACAATCACATGTTTAATTAAAGAAGAAGATCTAGATAAAAAGTAAGGAAGAGCTCCTATTTCTTGTAATTTAAATGAATCCTTCGATATTATGTTTGTTGGTTCAGATCATAGTTTATTACATATCTCTAATTCAGATGATGATGATTAAGATAATCTTTCAGTTAGTAGAAATGTATTATTGAGTTGTGAAAGTATATAAATAATGACAAATTTATTTGATACTCATATTTATGTTTGTTAATATGAAGTACTAGAATTGTACCAAAAATTAATTAAGTAAGTAATAGATCTATAAAATTGGAAAGAAGAATTCTTACCCTATATTATTAAACATCAAAAGAATGTGAATTTACTAAATTTAATAACAAAAAAAGAATAAGGTCTCTTTCATGAAAGAAAATAATAATAATTTTCAATTAAAGTTTTTATAACCTAAGATTATGCAAGAAGATTAAATAACATTAAAGATTATCAACAAGCCAATTATGAAAGTATGATTAAGGGAAATAAAGGAATCCCTCTTTATTAATCAGTCCAAGATTTCTAAATATAATATCCTCCTGATGCTCGTATTAGTCCTGACACAGTAATTGGAGAAGGAACTAGAATTGGCAATAAGGTAATTATATAAAGATCAATTATTGGTAAAAATTGTACTATAGGTGATCATGTTAAAATCAGCAATTCAATTATTATGAAAAATGTTGTTATAAATTCTAAGTATTTATTTTTTATATTTATTTATAGTTGTTTAATCTAACATTGTATTTTATCAAATGAATCTGCTGTTGGACATGGTACAGAATTGAATAAATGCAATTTAGGAAATTTAGCATCAATTGAACCAAATTAAAAGTTAGTAGATGAATGTATAATCAGATGATGTTGTAAAATATATTGAATATATACAATATTTATTAAATATGATTTTGAATACAATTATAATAATTTATTTTCTATATTCATAGATAAAAATTTAAATGGAATTATAATCTATAATCATCTTATTTAATAAAAGCGATTAGTGTCATGAAACATAAATAAAAATAAATTTAAAATTAAATAATTTTTATATAAATGAGTTTTCCAAATTAAGATTATTTAGCTATGATCAAAAGCAAATAACAACAGCAATAAACGTAATCATTTTAACAATAGTTCTGTTATCCTATGATGTAAATATATATAGCAATTTTAAAGGACACCTTAACCTTGGAATTATTGGATGATGTAGCAATAGTTTTAATAAATGCCTTAAATGTAGATGTCTCCAATGTTACCCTAATAGTAAATGATGTCTCCAGTCTCACCTTTCAATGTTTCAATGATTCCTCCTTAATTTTTGTTGCAACCTTAATAAACTCAAAGCAAATTATCAACATCCCAATCTTAACCACTCCAGAATAAATAATATGTAGAAGTCAATGGGACTAAAGTTAAAATGTATATGAAATTGATCAAGGAAGATGATGACATGTTAGATTATGATGAGATTAAAAGAGAAAAATAAAAAAAAGTCAATTTGACAAATAAAAGGAAATGAATTTTTTCCTTCATGATAATAATTAATTTATTCACTTACCGTTGAAATTAAAAATTAAAAATATACAATTATTATGCTTGTCTAACAGCAATAAAGATAGATGCCTGCTACACCCATTCCAGGCAATGCACGCAAAGTTATAGAGAATTTCAGTTATGCCCTATCAGATGCTATCGGAAAAGGCTTTAGTTCCATTGTATACAAAGGTAGAAATGATGAAACCCACGAGGTCGTCGCCATAAAGGTTATAGATAAAAAAGGACTCAAAACTCCTTTACATTATCAACTCTTGAGATCAGAAGTTGAAGCTTTATCTCAACTCAATTCCTAAAATATTATGAGATTATATAAGGTTTACTACACCGAAAATAATACTTATCTTATCACAGAATTTTGTGATTCAGGTGACTTAGGATAATTGGTAACTAAAACAGGAGTTTAAAAAGAATAGAATATGCAAAAAGTATTCTATGGTATCATCCAAGGTTACAAGTAGATGAAACAAAGGGGTATCTGAATTAATCTATTTAATTAGGTATTGTACATAGAGATCTCAAACCAGCCAATATTCTACTCAAAGGATCAGTTCCAAAAATAGCAGACTTTGGATTTGCTACTACTCCTCAGACTGCAGCTACAATGCCAAATGTCAATGTTGGATCACCTTTATATATGAGTCCTTAAGCATTCAAAAATAGATACTCTGAGAAATCAGACATTTGGGCTTTGGGTGTAAGTCTTTATGAATTATTATTTGGGTAAGTCCCATGGTAAGCAGGAAGTGAGAGAGAATTAGCTTAAAGAATGGCTACTGTGCCAGTACAATTTCCAGGTCACATATCAGATGAATGCAAAGATTTTATTTACAGATGTTTGATAGTAGATGAAAATAGAAGAGCTACAGTTGAGGAATTGGAAAGCCATGTATGGTTGTCAAAATAAGAACTCTAACCAATTAAAGGAAATGGATTCTCTAGTATGTTTAGGAGTAATCAATAACAACATAATCCTCATTTCTAATAAAATAATAATGCTGCCACACCTTTAGGAGATACTCAAAATAAATAATCTATATCACTATAACCTAGAGAATCTAATTATGGAAAGGAGAATGCTGTCATTATTAAATAATCATAATAGTCAATAATGTAATAACCATTAAAATCAATCAAAAGAGTCTAGGAATCAAGAAAGGAATCTTAAATCAGTTAATAGATGCAGTAAGAATATTCAAGTCAGAGAGAGGAGGATTGTTGGAATGAATCTAAGAAGAATGATTACATTATTTTGGCTTAGTTAAATTTCTGTAGGTATTTATATAGGGTTTCTGCTTTGATGGATAAACATCGTTTTGTTCAAACTCCTTATTTGAGAGAAAAACTTTTGTTTTTAGTGAACAAAAATATAATGATAAAGATGAATTGTTTAAATGAATTAATGGGAGGACAAAATACATTAGGATTAGAAAAGTTTTCATAGTATATACAGAATCCTTAATATTCAAAATTATGTGCAGCTATCCATTAATATAATCAAAAATATACTCTTTAATTTAATACTGTTTGGTTATCTCTTTAAAATCCAGATCAAAAATAATTATTAGTTGTTGATAAAAAATTTGATGCTGTTTTTGATGATAATCTTACTGAATATGAATCATTCTATATTATTTTAAATTCTATTTTAAGATGTGCAATAAAAGAAATTGAATATTAAATAGAATCAAAAATAGTGATTTAAGATACTTAATAATTATTGCCTATTGATATAGAAGGTGGTGTAATTTTACTTGATTATTTAATAACTTACTTTTAGTTGGCTTCTCTTATTTAAGAATGTTTTGAGAATCCTTATGAATTTGCTATTGATTCTAAAATTGAATAGATAGCTGATGGTAAACCAGTCCGACTAACTTATGGTCATTATATCGAAATAAGAAATAAAATAAAATAACTTGATATTTGATATATATATATATAAATATTATTATTATTATTTAATATATAATGACTGAATTTGATGTCATTTTAGTACCAACAGAGGAAGCCTTTCATTTATTAAACTTTCCAATTACTTAAATGAATGAATTTGAATCTGTTTATTAGATAGATAAAATTAATTACAAACCAATATCAACACATATTGAATTACTTTATACAAATAAGAGTTAGGGAGATTAGAGATTAGAAGAAAAAGTTAAATTTAATTCATAGATTATAAATAATCGTACATATTATGCATTGACTAAATTGGATGAATCTAATAAGAAAATATATCTTTATGTAATAACAAATTTTTAAAATATGCGTGTATAAACTAATAAAGATGTAGAAGTTTAAAATTAACCATAATAATAATAATAATAATAATAATAATAATAATTATAAAAGAAATATTATAAACATTATTAAGAAATTAAAAGTAAAGAAACTACTGTTGAATTAAAACAATAACATCTTAATTTAGAAATTCCAAAAAATATATAATCATCTAAATAGATGTCATCTGATGAATACATGAAATATATTTTCGATAATTGAACTTAATTTATTATCAATAAATATTTATTATTTTTTTTATGAAAGGAGTTTCTAAATTGAAATATAGGATTGTGTATTGTTCAGGTGAAGATTAAGATTATCCTGTGACTGAATTACTCACTCAATCACCATAAAGTAGAGGTTGGCAAGCACCAAAATATTGTGAATATCCACAAGAAATAGCAATTTAATTTGTCAGTGCAGCAAGAGTTAGACAAGTTTAGTTCTTGTCTCATCATTGTAAGATATCTACAAAAGTATCATATATTTAAATTGATTTAGATTGAACTTTATGTTCACATGCCAGATAAGAATATACCTCCACAATATAATCAAATCAAATATAAGAAATTAGGATATTTATCACTTGATTCCAATGAGAAAGGAGGATATTAGGCAAGAGAATTAAAAAGTGTCTATATTGACACACCATGTTTATTCATGAAATTTGTATTTCAAAAATGTTACGTGAATAAATTTAATCTCTTTAATTAAATTGGTATTATTGCTTTGTCAGTGTTTGGTGAACCCCTTGATTCCCCTCCTGGATATGGGTAAATGAAATAGAAAGAATTTTATAATGAAATTTAATTTGAAACATAATTTGATTAAAATACACTTGAAAGACTGCGAATGTTAGAGGAAGCTAAGGATAAAGGTATTTCTATAATAAAATAATTAGCGGTTTCAAGAGAAGATTTCATGGAAGCAAAAAGAATAAAAGAGGCAATAGAAAGGTTAAAATAAATAGGAGTTCAATTAAGAACATTAGAAGAGAGAAAGGCAGTGGCTATTTAAAATGAAGATTATGATTCAGCTAATATTATCAAATAAGAAATAGAAAAATTAAGGAATGCTGTTGCTCCAGATTCTATGATACGTAGACCAGATAGTGCAGTAATATTATATATATATTAAAATTTAGTAATATTAATAACCTGTGTATTAACCATAATAATAATTCTAATAATAATAATAATAATAGTAATAATAATAATAATACTATTAATAATAATAATATTAACCACCACCAGTTTAATCTTAAATGGCTTATGTTCCCCCTTATTAAGCTCCTCCACCATAGATGCCTTTTTAAGGAGATGAAATGATTTCATAATCATAATTTGAAGAATAAAGAGCAGATCCATCATAAATGAGACAAAAAAGAGTTGCTAAAGAATTAAATTAACATCATGAAGATATGATTGTACCAGCTGCTTTAAGGAAGTAAAACAATAACTAATATCCTGATGATGATAAATAATAATAATAATAATGTATGATCAATTTTTAATTAAAGATACAACTGAACCATTAACAGGAGACAGTCTATAAAAAGCTGAACCATTAATACCTATATTGACAGAAGAATTTTGTTAAAAAATATTTAGTAAATAATGGGGAGCTCGAGAAGATGGATTAAAATGGTTAGAAGAATAGATTGGTAGACCAACTTAAGTCAATTCTTAGGATCCTTCTATTTTCTTTTTAAGTTCAATAGCATCTATAAATTATACTTTGAGTGATAAAGTTGCAGCTGTTTCACTAAGAAGTTTAAGTGTATTATAATCTTTATTTGCAAAATATCCAAAAATAAAAATAAATAAAAGTGCAGAATTTAATGAACATATTGATGGAATTTTATAATCTCTAATGGAAAAATTAGGAGAATAAAGAAAGGAATAAGCTGAAAATGCATTCTTGTAAATGGCAGATCATCCATCTGTTGGTCCTGCAATTTGTGTTTAACATTTAATAAAAGGTTTTGTTGGAAAATCTAAATTACAAAGTTCTACTAAACATATTGTTGGGAGATTAGCTATGTTGACAGCACTAGTAAAGAAATATGAAATCAATAATGCTAATATGCCATATTAACCAATTGTTGATTTTTCTGTAAAATTGTTGGATGATAAAGTATTTTGTAATTAAATTAATTTAGAATGAACCCATTAGAACTTAAGCCATCTTACTCTTGGTTGAAATATATAAATTTTCTGGAAATAGACTTAAACAATCTTTAACAAATGTTAGATAAGCATAATTAGATGTTTTAGAAGATTTTTTTAGTAAAATTGATGGAGGTGGAGATATTGATGATCAACCATAAATCAATTAATAAAGAGCTATCATTTAAACTAACATTGAAACCTAAGGAGCTAAAAAAGGGAATTAAAATTAGATGTAGAATTAAAAACCATAATAATAAAAATAATAATAATAATAATAATTTGAATAACATAATACAGCAAAATGTGATTATTGTGATAGAATTGATCCATCATTTAGAGATTCAGATCAAATAGATACACATCTTTGGTCAGAATGTCCTATGTTAGTTACTTGTTCATAATGTGGATAGGTTATTGAAATAGCTGAATTAACTAATCATTTATTGAGTGAATGTGATCATAAAAGAAAATTTAAGAGATGTCCTAAATGCAAAGAGGCTATTCTATTGAGTGGTTATGATAAGTAAATAATAATTTGTAATATAATTTAGACATTTGGAGGATTGCCGAGGTAGAAATGATAATACAACAGTTAGATGTCCATTATGTCATTAAGATTTGAAATTGGAGAAGAATACATGGAAAAATCATTTAATAAAATAAGGATGTTTAAATAATGAAAGAACTGCCGGTTGATATAATCATTCATCAATTCTATACTCAATATTTATAATTGAATTTTATAAGTTATTATTTTCTTTCAAATCAAATTTTGTTTAATATCTGAATTTCATAAATATATATTTCAAACTATTAAAATAAAAGTAAGATTCATGGAAGAAGAAAGAGGTATTCGATTTGCTAAAAATTTACCATATGTTGTTGGAAATGTTTTTAAAATGCTTTATGAATTTCCTACTGCTCTAGTTATTTCAGATGATGGTTAAAAGTATCATGAATAAATTATTCTACAGAATATTATATGAAAATGAAAAAAATTTGGTATATGTAGACAGTGATTCAGGAAAAACAATTAGAAATCTACATTTGTTTACAAAGTTTATTGGTTTTGTAGATTTGAATAAGACGAAGTATTTCTTTTAAAAATTTAGTGATAAAGCATTAGCTGGTTCAGCTGATAATTAGGCTAAGATAGTGGATCTGAAGACTGGAAAATGCTTACATGATTTAAAGGGTCATTAAGGATTTGTATTTCTTGGAGGATTTAATCCATAATCAACAATAGCTGCTACAGCATGTTAGAATATGAAAATAAAGATTTGGGATGTTGAATCAGGAAAACAAAATTTTGAATTTGCATAACATAAATAAACACCTACATATCTTTCATATAATCCAGATGGGGATAAACTATTAACGTGTAGTTATGAAAATGAAGCACTTGTATATAAATATTAATTATATAAATAAGATTTGGAATGCCAATGATGGTTAAATAGTTTGTAAATTATCAAAACATACAAGAGGTTTAGAAGTAGCTAAATTTGCATCTTCTGGATATATATGTGCCACAGGATCACATGATAAGTATAATAATATATTTAATTAATTTTAGTAAAGCGAATGTTTGGGATATCAGGAATCCAGAATAACCACTATTCACCTTAGAAGGACATTAAGATTATATCAAAGAATTAGCATTTAATAAATAATGTATTAATTTTATATTTTAAACTTTAGAAACATAAATAGTAACTGGCTCTAATGATAATACAGGTAGAATCTATAATTTGTAAGATGGCAAATTTGTTGGAGAATTATCAAATTTTCCAGGTTAGGTTTATGCAGTATCATTTAATGAAGCTGGAAATAAAATTATTGGAGTTAGTAATAATAAGACTGTTTAAATTTTGTAATTTTATTGGTTTAACATAATTAGTGATAATTAAGGAACCTGTTTATAATAAATTACAGGAGAAGGGAATGTATATATCAACAAAACTGGAAATACTTTTGTTACTATGCCTAAATCAATTGATTCATAAGCAAAGGTTTGGAGAGAAGCAAGAGTTTCTAAGCATTGATATCCATCAAATTTAGTAAATTCTAATTTAATTTTTTTTTTTATAATACTTTATTTTTGAATTCTATTTTTGTTTAAAAATCTCTTAATTAATAATTAAATAACGAATGTATTAATATGTGGAAGGTACTTAATTTATGTAAAATCTGTAAAATTTGGATTGGAATATAGGCTATGAATAATTAACAATAGGAGAATAATTAGCTTAGGAATTATTGACTACAATTAATATTAAAAGTGTCAATATTAATGGAAATGAAATAGTTAAAGGCAATACATTTCCAGTAGTTTATAATGAAGCTTAATTAAATAATTCAATCATTTAATTGCTTATTTTAAATGGATAAATTAATATTTATGGACCTTAACTCAATTTCTAAATTATAGACTATTAATTTTAATACATTTAGAATCAAGCATTTTTAAATCGATATAATTTAATTTCTGGAACAATAAGTTTTGATGATAGATAAAGAATTATACTAAATTCAGAATAATTAGTTACTGGTATGTGGAATTGTACTTCTATCTTAAATTTACCTTAAAATCAATAATTTATTAACTGTCTACGTAAATTTATAAATTAAATTACATAAAAGGGTAATAAGAGAATCAAATTTACTAAATAAGATTCCTTTATTCTTGTTATTTTTGATGTATAAGCAACTTGTATATTGGTATCTTTAGGAGATCCAATACTCAAATTAATTTATAAACCAAAAGTCTATAGATTATGGGAGAATTTCTTAAATAAGAATTCATTTTCATCAGATCTTCAATTTTCAATTAATGAATATGATCAATTAGAAAATCAGATATCAACATTATAAAATGAATATTCTAATATGTTGAAATTGTTATTAGAACCCTCAAATCAATTAATTGATAGTGTTCCTAATAAAACAAGTCTTTTAATTTTATCTAAATCTAATCATTAAACTAATAATCATAATTCAATAGCTAGTCATTAATTTTAAGGTTTACTTTAAGTAAGTAGCTAAAAATTGTTTACAGGTAGATCACATTTAGATACAAAACGTGGATATCATTTATCAGTAGGGCAACTTTCAGAAACATCATTTCTTCAAGATATACCTTTAATCAATTAAATTAATTAATGATTTTATTATTTCAATATTTAATTAATTATAATTTATAATTAAGAAAAGTTGATTATTGATTTAAATCAATTGTTCTCTTATTAATTAAATGAATATATTAAACATATAGATTTATGTGATATCATTATTTATAACAAAATTTATAAGAATAAATTAAAACTATAATTGGTTATTATAAAAATATCTTAATAAGAATTCACACTTAAAAATGTTCGAAATGATTTCCCCATGCTAACATATACATTTATTCTGTATTGCTATCTTATTAGGGTCTTTGCATAAAAATATTCTTGACATTTCCTTTTAAGTAAAATCTATCTAATGATTTAGTACTAAAATAAACATTCCCTTCCCAATGACTTAATGTATTACCTGCATCATTGAATATTTAAAATTCATTTAAGGTATCATAATAATAGGGTACAGGAGTTTAGTAATAAAAATAAAGATCAAAGAGAGATATATATTCTTTTGATTTGATTAAATTTTCAACAATTATAGGTTTGCGTCTGATTTTAAAATAAATATAACCATAAAATTACATAAATATACCTGGAGGTGTATATTCTCCATTTTTTTCTATTTAATTTAAGACTTCTTCAACAGGCACAAAGATATTCTATAAACATCTTTCTGCTTCTATTGCATGAGTAATTCTATAATTTAATTTAGATTTTCTCATAGCATTTTTTTCAAATTAATCTGATTTCAAAAAGTATTTTTCATCTTAATAAAATAATTCTGGACTTACATAATAAAATTCTAGATCAGGAAATATTGTATAATTGAATAACATATCAAGAGAATTACATTTTGGATCAAATAATAACATAGTGTGATTAATATTAGAATACATTTATTTAATATTATCTATATCTTATTGATGTCTCAATTAAGTTTATTATCTTAAGATTTTAATTTATTAATTATTAATTACTTCCTTTTACAATTCTGGAGCCTTTCTCAACATTGTTATATAAAAAGCAACACCACCCATAGCTATACTACAAAAAGCAATTAAAGTATATATTTGTTATGGATTAGTTTTAGTTCCTTGATGACCTTCAAATTTCCTATTTATTTTTATATCAGAGAAATCTTGTTTTTGATATTTAGAATCTGTTTAATGATCATATGTTGAATTTTTTTATTGCTTAAATTTTTTTAGCATCTCCTAATATTAATGTCTTTTTTATGCATTCTCAGGTTTATAGTATTCTTAAGGTTTTTCATGAAAATAGAAGCCGAATACTTCCTAAAATAATTATTCTTCAGATTAAGCAGAATAGTAATATTATTTAAACTCTTCTTTTAATTACTCTTCAAATTTAGCCTTCTTAAGAATATTATATGCTTCAGCTATTCTTTTAAATTTTTCATGAGAATCATGTGATTAATTAATATCAGGATGATCTTAAAGAATAACTAAATTTTATACATTATTTGCTTAATCTAATATAAGCATCCTTGATTTCCTATATAGTAGCTGTAGAATTGAGACCTAATTCAACATAAGGATCAAATTATGTAGTAGAAAATTAAAATTGCCGAAGCTTATAAAATAATCTTAACATAATTAATTCATTTGAAAAATAAATTATATATTTAATTTACATCTAAATATTGATATCTTTTTTTAAATAATAATAATAGCCTTGAATAAATCAGTTATACTTGATTTCTTTTGATTTCCTTATTCTTATAATCAAATAATTGTTTTTCATTTCAAAATTTAAAAAAAATGATCAATAAATTAAAAAATTATTTGTTAATCAAAAGTATATTCCTTTTCTTTTCTTTTCTTTTCTTATAAGAAAACAATTAACTAGTTTAATATATAGTTAAATTAAGAAACTAAAACATTCTTATATCTAACTATAATGAATATGTTTATTTGATAAATCAACAAGGTATTTTTTAAGTTTATCAATTTTAATATCAATTTTTCTTAGGTCTTTTACTCTCCATAGATTTAAGAAATATATTTAAAATTCGTTATTGAATAAATAATTTATTCATTATATTTATAAATATAAACTTATTTAATACAATAGAATTTGAAATTAAATTATAAACACTTACGTTAATTCAAAGTTTTACGTTAATTCAAAGTGAAGTTTTCCCCGTTTTTCAAGAATGTTGCCTCAAATACTGATCAATGGTCTATGAAATTAAATAATATAAAATGAAGGCAATATTTGGAATATTAGCTATTATTGTGTTAACATAAGCAGGATTTGTTTAAAAATATCCATTGAACTACTCAAATAAAAGAAACATTATGTCAATTATGACAGAAGTTGAAAGCAAACTCTAAGCTAAAAATCCACTTGACTCAATCAAAGGCATTTTGAATTCATTCAAGTCAGAAGTTGCTTCAGAATAAGCTACTCACGATGAAGTTTATAATGCTTAAAAAACAGAATGTGATAGTGAAATCGAATACAGATCTTTGGAAGTTTAAGATGCTAATAGCATACTTAAAAGTGCTAATGGTATTTTAAAAACAGCAAAAATCATCAAAAGCAAGACTAGTGCTACACTTTAAGCTACTGAAGAAATTTTGAATACTGCAACAAGACATATTGAAATGATTAATTCAGCAAGAAAAGAAGATACTCAATCATACAATAGAGCTGCTGTATCATTCAATGATGCAATCAATGCTATTGATGATTCAATTGATTTGGCTACAGCATTAGCTAAGGGATAAGTTAGTTTAGCTTAAGTTGCTGAACTTTCAACTAAATTATTGAAATCAGCTTTAGCAACCAAATTAATTTAAGAATTTAAATAACCAATGGCTGCTTTGGCTGCTATAACTTAAGAAGAAGATGCAAATGCTGCTGAAAGACTTGTTTAATTACTTTAAACATTGAGAAGTGCTGTTGAAACTGCATGGACAGATTATACAACTCAAAATTAATTAGGTCTTTAATAATTCATGGGTCAAAAAGATTTATACAATGCTACTTAAGAAAGATTAGACAAAGCTAAATCAAGTTTAGTTGCTAAATTAGAAGCAACTGAAGGAGTTATTTCAGTTTAAACTGCTGTAGCATAAGCTGCCACAAATAGAAGATCAAGAAATCAAAATTTATTGGAAGATGCAAATGACTTATGTCATAGTTTTGATGTTGAATATGAAGCTGTCACTGCAGGAAGAAGATAAGAATTAGTCTTAATAAATGAATTAGAAAGATTAGCTACTAGAAGAGCTGCTGAACAATAAAGTTGATTTGTTTTTCATTTGTATTTTACATTCATTTAACTATTCTATTTTTTTATTATAATTTATTAATTCAAAAATAATTAACAATGAAATTTAGAATATATAATTATAATTAATCAAAATTTTAAAAAGGCATCTTAAAGATTACTAAAATTTATCAAATTTATTACTTTTTTTATTATGATTAATGAAAAATTTATTCCATAATTTTCTATTACTCCTTTTTCTGAATAATTTCAAAAATTGTATCCTATAAATTTAATTATTATTAAGGAGTATCTTATAATATTTAAATCAATTCTTATTTTAATTCTGAATTATTTTTATTTTTATCTACAAACAAAATTTTCTAAAAATGATAAAAATTGAAAGCTTATTTTAAATTTGTTTCATCTTCAAATTAGTTTTCACTCAATTCAAAATTAGTAATCAATAAAGAGAATTTACAATTAAACTTAATCAAAAACTTTAAAGTTTTATTGATCTTTTATTTCATTAAGTCTGTTCTTTCAAAATTAACTACCAATAATAGTGTTCTAATAGAATTTTGATATTTTATAAAAAACTATTAAAATTATTTGATTCTAATTTCTCTGATATCGAAATCAGTTTCCAGATCAAAATCAGGAGTGTCAACAATACCAAGTTCTCCAGAAGTTCCTATTGTAAATCCTTATTAAGAAGAAACATTTTTGCATTATAAATAATTATATGTTGATGTCTTGCCAACCCCACTGAATCCTATTAATACTAACTTTTTTATGGAATCATGTTAATAGGTTTTATAAGCTACATAAAACAAGTAGAAAATGATTCCAATTAAAATAATTATAATTAATGATCCCCATTAAGGTAATAAAATTTCATTCTCCATAAATATAATAGTCATTATTAGAATTATTATGGATAGTAATAGGATCGCCATTTAAGTCCATTGAAAAGGTAATTTCATTTTTAATAATGATTAGTTTTCTTATATAATTTGTCTCTTATAATTACTAAGTGTTTAATAGAATTATTGTTATTTAATTAATAAATAATTACAATATATTATAGATTATTAAGATAATTCATATTGATCAAAAGAATAATATTGAATAATAGATTATTTTATGAAACACATTGAATTATGTTTAAAAATAAAGATATAAATTATATTAATTAATGGAGTTATTCTTATCATCAGATTTGAATTCATAATTTTTAACACTATTGGTACATTATACTAGATTGGTTTCAACAGGAAGAGTAAAACTTGTGGTGTTATCAAATTAAGCATTAAAATTAAATGAGGAAGGCATAATAAAAATTCCTTCTATTCCATCATTAGTAACAGAGGAAGCTTAAATTTTAACAAATGTTTTCTCTATTGCATAGTAATAATAAAAAATAAGAATAATATAGATACTTAACTAATATTTCATTTACAGAAAAAATACTGATTGGCACAGATAATTAAACTTTAGGGCAAGTACAATTTGATGATAAAATGATAGGTTTTATAAGTTTTTGAAGCATAAAGAAAAATATAAGGAGAAGATTTAATTGAAGTAATGATATTGCTAAATTTAGGCATTTCTCAAACATTTAGAAAGCAGAGTATTTTTTGTTACTAATCATGTAACATTAGCAGATTTATTTCTATATATTCACACATATGATATTGTATCTACATGGAATGATGAACAAAAAGCTGGAAAATATGTACATTTCTTTAGATGGTATACAATTTGATATTATAATAAATAGGTTTAAGTAAGTTCAAGCTTTACCACAAATATCTGAAATCAACAAAACTTTAGGTAGAGTTGATGTGAAACCAGCATCTCCTTTTGTTGATACTTAATCAATTGGTAAATAGAAAAAGTAAAAATGAGATTATTTAATATTCCTATTAAAATATTAGAAAAATGCAATTGATATTTTATTCAATCATCATGAATGTTATCTTCAAATTAAAATTAATTAAGTTGGTAACATTCTTCTTCCTATTTAAATTATTATTTTTATTTTTTATTCTCTCTACATAATTTTCTGATATAACCCATCTTTTCATTTCTCTTGTCCTCTAAATTAACTTATATAAATAAATATTGAAATCTACCTAATGTTTCAGCCTTTCTTAATAAATAATAATAATCTTCTAAAGTTTTTCTTGGACAGCCTACTATTTCTGCAGCCTAATCTAATGTGATTCTAACAGTTCTGCCATCTACTATTTTAGTTTCAGTTTAATAAACTTATCTAAATATTAAAGAATAAATAAATACCTCCATAATTTAACTAAATTTATTGCTTCACTTACATATCTTTCCTTTGTTCTTTATCGTGGCTATTATTATTATTACATTATTATATTAATTATTAATAAACTCTTTAAATATAACTAATATAATAAAATAAATCATTTTTCTTCTGCTTTATATCTAGGACTGTGCAAAAGTAATTTTTACTTTTGACGTTCAAGTTCTTTAGCTAATTTTTGTTATTGCATAAATAACTTTTCTTTTTCATCTTTAAATTATTATGCTCTATCTAATTTCTCTTTTAATTTCTTATTCTTTATTTCCACCATCTCTTTTAAGATACTTGCAGCTTTCTTTTTATGATCTCGTATTAGTTCTTCTTTTTTTTGTTTTTCTTGTTACAATTTGATTTTAGAAATAGATTGAGTTTCTGTAATAGATTTTAGATGTTCTTCTTCCTTTTATCGAATCTTTTCTTAAAATGTTTGTGATTTATTATTTTAAATACTCCCATTTCTTGATTGAATCTTATAATAATAATAATTATTTTTGTACATTCTATCTATGTCTTGTCCTTTCTTTTTCTATTTTCTCTATTTTTTCTTCTGTAAATTTCATTTTTTCAGAAATCTAATTTATCTTCTCCTCTAATTAAGAAACTTTTAATTAAGCTTTCTCGTTTTTTTCAGCCATTATTTTTTTGTAATTCTCCTAAAAATATCAAGAGAATATATTAACCATCACTCTCTTTAATTTTTCCATTTTCTCCTTTTTTTTTTATTCAATCAATTCAATTTTAGCTTACTAAGTAATTTCAATATCATCTAACTTTTTCTAATATTGCTCTATTTTCTGTAATTTTTCTTGATAATAAGCATTTTTTTCTTCCTCATTTCTTTATTTAACTTTTTTTAATTGCTTTCTTTTTGCTTATCTCAACTCTTTCAATAACTATTCCTTTCTCTCTCTCAAATCTTTAATCTACTCCTCCTACTCCTTCTATAATTTATCTAATTAGATTTTCTTCATCAAAATTTCTTCTTATTATGTATTTATTATTCCTTCAGCTATTCTTGTGTAAATATTACTTTTTACTTTTTTATAATAGATGGTTTAACCTTATCTGGAATTATTTTTTATTAATTATTTTTATTGCTTTATAATTCTTATAGAATTAAATCTCTACTTATTTCTCTTTCTGTCAATTCCTTTAATTTTTCTTATTCAATCTTTTACACCTAAAGTAATTTTTCCTTCTCTTTTTCTTTTCTTTTTAATTCTATCTAAAATGATAATAATAAAATAGACTAACCATTTATTTCTTCTCCTTTAAAGCTTATTCTACTTATTGTTATTTTGAACGTGTCGATTCTAAGATAGAATATTTTCTTCTTTCTTATTCTGTTTGTTATTGCTCATACAATTTTAATTGCTCCAATTCTCGTTCCTCTATTAGACATTATCATACCTGTTTCTTTCTCATCTTTGCAAGTAATTTATCTTCTTAATTAGCTATGTATTCATTTTCATCTAAGAATGTGAATAATATAAATACAATAGACTCCATCGGTTGCTTTTTTCATGATAAAATAATAATATAAATGAATAATCAAGATGATAAAATTTCTGTGAAATTATATATGGCCGACTTATGTTATAATTAATGTGTTAAATCATATATGGAAAAGATATTAACTCCATTTGAGAAAGAATGCATGATGAAATGTTTAGAAAATATCTAAGGTTTGAGAATTGAGTTTTATAATGCATTTAATAAATCATGAAAATTGATTTTATTTCTTAACTATCTAAATACTCATAAACTTATGCTTATAATATTTCAATTTTTATTATCCTATTCATTTAAATAATATTAAATAATGTCTTTATATTTATATTTTGCTATTACCTTGAATATATTTTATATAAAAATATATAAAAAAGAAAAAAATTCTTATTTTAAGAAATTTCACAAATTAAAATAAAATAAAAATTAATCAATACCTAAAATAATCATCATTATTACATCACTTACAACAATATATTAATCCAATAAGAATTAATAAGGTTGCATAAAGAATTCTCAAATTTTCTAATATTTTATTATTTTTAGGTTCTTTTTCTTAATATATTAATATGAAATATTAATAAATTGTTTATAATCAAGTTAATAAAAATAAATGGATAAAAAAATTTTTTTTAAATTAAATAAATAAAAATTTACACGTTTTTGAAAAATTAATTATTATTTTTAACACCACAATCCGTTTTTAATAAGGCAAATGTTGTGGTATAAAGGGAACTGAAATAAAAAAGTATAAATCAATTATTAAAATATGAAAATTGCATTCACTATCTTGGTTGTCTTAGCCATAAGCAATGCTAGCATGATGTCAAAATACCCACTCCAATATGGTGGTAAAAGAAGCATCATGAACATAATGGTTGAAGTTGAAAACAAAATAAAGACACACTCACCATTAGATTCAATTAAGGGAGTTTTGAATTCATTCAAATCTGCAGTTGCAGAAGAACAAAATGGACATGATGATGTCTACAACGCATAAAAAGTTGAATGCGATAGTGAAATCTCATACAGAAGAGCTGAAGTTGAAGATGCCAATGGTACACTCAAAATTGCTAACGGAATTTTGAAGACAGCCACCATCTTATTGAAAAAAACTTAAGCAACCCTTGGTGAAACTGAAAACATTTTGAATACAGTTTCCCAACACATCAGTTTAATTAATGATGCCAGAAAGGAAGACACTTAATCATATAACAGAGGAGCTGTTACATTCAACGATGCCATTAATGCTATTGATGATTCAATCGATTTGGCTACTGCTCTTGCTAAAGGAGAAGCATCTTTGGTTTAAGTTGCTGATATGACAACTAAATTAATGAAATCAGCTATTGCTACCAAAATGAACAAGGTATTCATGTAAGCAATTGGTGCATTGGCTTAAATTACATAAGAAGAAGATTCAACTGGTGCAGCTGAAAGACTTGTTTAATTGTTATAAACCTTGAGAAGCACTGTTGAAGAAGCTTGGGCATCATACACTGCTGACAACACAAATGCTTTGGGTCTTTTCTCTTAATAAAAAGATCTCTATCTTGCATCATAAACTAGACTTGATGAAGCCAAGACCCATTTAAGTAGCAAAGCCGAAAACTTATAAGGAACAATTTCAACTTAAACCGCTGTTGCTTAAGCTGCTACTAATAAGAGATAAAGAAACTAAACTTTATGGGATGATGCTGCTGATTTGTGCCACAGTTTCGATGTTGAATATGAAACAGTCACTGCAGGAAGAAGATAAGAATTAGTCTTAGTCAATGAATTAGAAAGATTAGCTGAAAGAAGAGCTGCTGAATAATAATGATGTAAAATAGATAAAATATTTTTGTCATATTAATCATTTTTAATTTTTCATTCTTTTAGTTTAAAATTCTTTAATTTCTTTAAGGAAATTATTGTGAAATGAAACAAGCAAATTTTTTTATCCTTGTATATTTAAATTTTAGATTGGAAAGAAATTTACAAAATGAGGCAATAAAATAGAATTTTAAATTTCTTAAGAAAATTCTTTTGCTTTTACTAAATTTTTAATTAATATTCAAGAAAGAAATAAAACTATTAGATATTATTCTGAGATCTGAAATGAATAATTATTAAAAATATTGTTAGATATTTATTCTTTAAAAATATATAGTATATTTTCACTAAAGTTTGCTAGGCATATTTAATTAAAATCATAAATGTATTATAAATTTGATCGTTCAAATTGAAATTACTTTATTCTAAATATAGATGATTATTTTTATGTAATATCTAATTAAAATCACACAAATAATCTTTTGATTAGATTTTTAGTATCAAATCATTAATTATCACAGCTAATTTATATAAATCATTAATATTACAAATTAAATTGTCTCTCTAAAAGAGTAATATTTAATTATTAATTAAATGAGAATGGGAATAAAATAAAATAATGATTTCTTCAATTAAGAATATTAATTATAAAAAAAATATAATTCAAAAATTAATGACATGATTAGAATTATGAATATAAGTTATTATAGAGAAAGAATAATAAATTGAGATTTCAATAAGATAATTCCTAAATTGAATTATATAATTTAACAATAAATTAGAATAATTACTTTTTGTTAAATCTTAGAAAAATCAATAATATCTAGAACTCTAAAAATATAATTATGAGATGCAATTAAAAATACTAACTTAATTGATAAAAATAAAATCATAAAAATAATTAAAATGTAATGAACTTTAGGAGCAACCTCAATAAATGTTTAAATTCATCAATTTTAATAATACTAGTAATTTAGTGTATGTTAAAAATTATTATGAAGTTAATTAATTCTTTTAGAAAATTATAATTGATGATTAGATCACATATAAGTATATTAATTTTAATATTATTGATAGAACGGATAAGATTAAACAGTTACATTCACAGAAGCTTATTTAATAAGATATATAATATTATTGAATTATATATAAATAAAATTTAATTATTGAATATCTAGATGAGTGTTAGAACATCATAGAAGCCAAAGCAAAATATCTAATAAGAACAGGATCCTTAAATACAAATAGCTAATTTGTAAAAGGAGAGGGATTAATTGCAAAGCTAATTAAATTAAGCAAATAATAGATTAAAGATTATTGAGAGAGACAGCACATTAAAATAGAGAAAAATAGAGGACATTCAATACTAATTAGACCGATCTTTAACATAGAGTCAATAAGAAATAAATTTGGATAAATTAAATTAATCGTTTTAAGATGATGATGAAAAGAGAAAATTAAAATAATAAGTATTAGATCTCTAATCAACTATAAAATTATTGCAATAGAAACCATTAGATTTTGATAGAGAAATTACTAAATCTGTAGTTCAAAGATAATCTCTTTAATCTGATTTCAGTTCTGCTAATCAAACTATCAAGCAATTATAAAATAAAATAGATGATTTATAAAATTAATTAAAACTAAAAAATAGTTTAACAATTGATACAACAAATTAACATATATTAGATTTATAAGATAGATTAGCAAAATTATAGATATAATGTGATAGATAAGTAATATAAATTAATGAATTAAATTAAAATAAATTGGCTTAATAAAAAGAAATTGATTCTCTTAAAAATTTCATTAATTCATAATCATTAAATCATAAATAAGAATAATCAGAAAATGAATTAAGATATTCAAAAGAAAGTCAAGTTATCTCACTTAATTTAACAAATAAAGAATCAGCTCTCTTAACTACTGAATAAAAATTAAAGTAAGCTCAAGAATATTTATATTAATTGTAAAGAAAATATGATTAAGATACATTTTAATTAAGAACAGAAGTTTAAGATACAAAAGATTAAAGTAACAGATTTAAAGATTAATTGGATCTTTAATCAAAATTATTAGAATAAGTACAGAATGAGAAAGCTTAATTATCAATGATGTATGAGAAACTACAATTAGAAACAAATGCTTTATCTTTCTAATTATAATAATAATTAAAAAATGAAGAATCAAAATATTTAAGAGATAGTACAACTTTATAATAATAAATAACAGAAAAAGAACTTAAAATTTTAGAATTGGATAAATTGAAAAGAGAATTAGATAATAAAATATTTTCATTATAATAAAAATTAGATCAAGATACATACAATTTTAATAATACAATAAAAGATTTATAAGATTAAATAACTAGAATTTAGAGGTAATTAGATGATAAAACATATTAATTTAATTAACTTCTTGAAGAGAAATAATAATTATCAAATTCTTATTTATAATTATAAGAGGAAATTTCTATATAGAAATTAAGATATTAATAAGATTTAAATAAATTGGAAACATAATAATCTAAAGAAGTTTAATGGTTCCAATAATAACTTAATGATAGGAATTAATTGATAGCAGAATTAGAGGCTAAATTAAAATCAACAAATGAATAATTGATAGCTATATAGAGAAGATATGATTAAGAAGCACAATTAAATAATTAACATAGTGTTATATAAGATGATTAAATTAAAAATTTATAAGATTAGATTGATTAAAAAGTTCTTTAGAATACTCTTTTAAATTAAGATAAACAATTATTAAATTAATAATTTGATAGATTAACTTAAAATTATAATGAATTAAAATTATAATATAATAATGATACTGATAAATTAAAAGAAGAATTACAAAAATTAAGAAATTAATATAATGATAAACAATAAGCATATTTATAATTGGATAATAGATATAAATAATTAAATGAAGAATTTTTATAATTATAAGTTAGATTTGAAAAAGAAATTAATTTGATGAATATATAAATATAAAAAAAATAATAGGAATGTTAATAATTATAAGATTAATTAAAATAAGAATAAATATAATCTTATAATATGGAATAATAAAATAATCTTTTGAAAAATTAAGTAAATTAATAAATGGAAGATATAAGAAAAAGAACTGAATAATAATTAACTGAGTAATATTAATAATTAACAAATGATTAAAAGGCTTAATTTAATTTATTGGTAAATTCTATTAATTAAGAAAACTAATAATTAAAATATGATCTTAATTAAAAAGGAGACAAAATAAGATAATTAGAAAATGAAATTTAAGGTTTAACAATTGGAAATACAAAAAATTAAATTCTTATATCAGAATTGTAAACTGCAAATCAATAATAGAAATTTTAATTGAATGAATAAGAAGCAAAGATTAGATAATTGATAATGTAGGAATTTGATTCAATAGTATAATATTATATTATATATATTTTAGAGAGATAAATCTGCTGATTAATAGATAAGAAATTTGATGGGAGAAGTTAAGATTTTATAATAAAAATTGAAGAAAAATGAACTTTACACATAAAATTTGGAGGATTAATTATAAAAAAATCGATGACATAATTTGATATTCAATTTATAAAGATATAAAAATATTTTAATATCAAGCTTCAATGAATAATAATCTTAAATATATTAATTAAAAGAGAATTAAACATAATTAGACTCGATATCCCTTTAGTATTAATTGCACCAGTAATTTTTCTAAATTAAAAATTTTATTTTAATTTTTATATAAATCCTATATTTTATAATGATAACTTATTGGAAATTTGATTTTGAGCATATAGTCTTGATAAGATACAATAGTAATAATATAAATTATTAAGCAATGCTGATTATTTCCTATTATTTAAATTATTTCTAACTTAATGGATATTTTTTCTGAATTAATATTTTTAAATAGATATGCGGAATATCAAGTAAACTGAGAATTTTACAAAAAAAACCAACTCTTAAACTAAATAAGAAAAGATTGCTTCTAAAATAACATTTCTCAGACTTGTTTTATGTGATAAAAAAACCATAAGAGCTTCTGCTTAAATATGTAAGATGAACTTTTCAACAGCAAAAGCTATTCTAAATAAATTTAGAAGACATGGAGTTATCTAATAATCTTATAAAGGTACATTTATTGAATAAAGTATAGATTATGATAGTTAACTTGATTTACTGAGATAAATTGTTTAAATTCAGAAAGGAATGAGATGTGAGTAGATTTCTAAAATGTAGTAAAGCAAATAAAAGTTAAACAACTAATTATAGCTATTTCTTTAGAATAATTAAATCTAAAGAAATAGTGAATAATTTGAAGTTTAGTTTAATATGGATAAAGATGTACTTGAATAATAACTCAGATAGGAATAATAAAAAGAGTATAATTTAGTAAGCTAAATTTTGGAATAGTAAATAATATTGATAAAGAAAATATGTCAATGATTTTGAAAACACTATTATATGTTTTATTTAATGTTAAATATCTTATTTTTTTTTTGGTGTAAGTTATATTAGAGAATGTATTATAATAATTTATAAAGTTTATATGGAAAAGTTGGATAATGTAATTGTTAAAATAAAATTTGATGAATGTTTACAGAAATTGTACATTAATTACATATCATTAACATTATAATGCTAATAAGCTTATATTAAGAGTTTAAAATCTCTAATTATAATGATATAAATTTGATTCTTATTAAAAAGGGAAGAAAAGGATTTAATTTGATACAAATTCATCTTTATATGATTAATATGAATGACAGAGTAAGGATTATGAAAATGTAATGAATTATTTATTTTTTATTAATTATATAATGTGAATTAATCATAAATTCATCTAATTCTAAACTGATGTTGTTTTATAAAAAAACCTTACTTTTTTTATATATATTTGTAATATTAAATATTTATTCGTTAAAACAATAAAATGAACAAATACTATATTGATAGTGGGGAAAAGCAATTTTAATAATCCAATAGAGAGGTTTTGAAACAATTAGATGTTACTAACAGATCAGAGGCATCTTTAAAAACATCTGTGGTTTCATTTGCTTGTGATCGAGATAACAAATATGAGATAGAAGATTATAGAACTTAACTTGAAGAATAGTTATCTGAAAATATTGAACTAAAAAGAATGTTAATGGATGAGATTGAAAAAAATAAGAGGATAAGTGATATTGATAAATCGTCTTAATATTTAGAGTAATAAGATAAGTTTGCATAAATTCTTAATAAAAAGGATAATGAAATAATGAATTTAAACAAATTGATAAGACAATTAGAAATTGAAGTATATTATTATATTATGTTAAAAAGAATAAATTATTACATAAAGATGATTAATTAGAATCTTCAAGAAGAGTGGAAAAAGAAAAATAATTAGAAAAGAGAATTATTGAATATGAACATAAAATAAATTTAGTATTAGGAGAGAATTCAAAATTGAATTAAGTATTTATATAACCATCAATAGATTTTATAAGAAAGGATTACATAAATAGAGAAAATGAAACATACAGTTGATTAATTAGAAAGAGAGAAAGTATAAATAGCAGAAAAGTATGAGATATTGATAGCAGAAGCTAATAATCTATCTTCTAGAGAGAAATGTACTATAGAGAAATGTCTTAATGCATAAAAGTATATTTATTAAAATCTAAATTTTAGAAACGAATTCTAAAAATAATTGAATATTGTAAATACTTAAAACAATTAAATGTCTAATATACTAAATTAATAGAAGAATTAGATTGAATAATTAGAATTATAATTAGAGGAAAATTAAGTTTAATTAGATACAATTAAATAAGGTTATGATGAATAAATAAAGGAAAAGGATAAGTTAATTTAATAAAGAGAAAAAGAGAATTAAGATTTAATGGTTAAATTTAATGAATTGGAAAAGAAATTGTGTTAATAAAATTAATAGATTACTATATTAGAATAATAATTATAGACAAATAATGAATAAGTAGTGATTGAAGAAATGTAAAAGTATTTTGAAGAATAGTATGATATTAAAGAGAAAGAACTTGAAACAAAACATTAAAAAGAAATTTAAAATTTAATGACATAATTAAATGAAAATCAAAATTTTATTGAAGAATTATAAAATCATTTAACTGAAATACATAAATAAATTACTAAATTTAAATAAGAAAAGTAAACATTGAGATAATAAAATTAAGAATTACAAGAATAAGTAAAATAATTATAATCAGAAATTAAATAATAAGAAGATTCTAGATATTCTTAAGAATATATGTTACCTTAATTTAATATTTCTTGTTAAAGTGCTATGACTGATCAATCTTTATGTGAAGATAGAGAAAAATAAAGTAAATAAAACAGATAATTAAATAAAAGCAAAGATACTATATAATAAAATAAAGAAAATTATGAAAAAAGAGATCCTAAATCTAATTAATGCATAAATTAATTAAAATAATAATCTCAATAGAATACATCTTATAAAGCATAATTCTAATAGAAAGTAAAGAAAAGTAATCCACCAAATAAAGATATGTATGCTCTCGATACATTTGGAAATAGAGATAGATCTATTACATGTTTGGATATGATCAACAAGGGAATTAAATTCAGAGAATCCTCTGATGAAGAAGATCAATCACCTATAGCATAGTTTAAATAATGGAAATAATAGATGACAGTTCGTTAATGAACAATTTTATTCATATTATTAATTTATATTAAATTCTATAAATAAATATGATGCATCATGATAATGAGGATAATATATGGAATTTGTATACTAAATAATTAGGTTTATTTTTATGTTCTAAAATTACTTTAAACACAGAACAATTATTTATAAAATGTATTTCTATATACTATTCTTTGAGATCGTGTATGGTTCTCAGTTATACTCGAGATCAAAAGGTAGTGTAGAGAATCAAAATTTTAGTGGATGCATTTACTCTGGTTCAAATTCTGAATACGTTCTATTTCAATGTATTTAACATAATGCCTTGGTTCCTAAATTAGAACTCACATAAAATTAAGTAGATATAAGTGTTTTACATATTAGATAGGAATATATTCTTTCGAAAGAAATGGAGAAACTTAATTAAGTAATTACTTAATTTGTGACCTCATCACTAATGGTGATTATAAGACCTTATCAATTAAAAGGATTTTATATCCTGAATACTCAAATTAGATTAAATAGGAACATAATCTAATATTTTATGAACTTACATAGATAGATTCAATTAATATGATGATTTCATTATTGAAAAGAATAGACAAGCAAAATTACATAATAGAAATGCTTCCAATGTTTCCTGGGAATGTGAATTAGTTTTACAGCATTTCATATAAATTCAATTCAAATGATAATGCAAGTATTATTGGATTTTCACAATATTACAATAAAATAAGGAATTCCATATTGCTAATTGTGTTAAAGTAAAATCAAATCAAACTGATTGAATACTCTTTATTTGATAAGCAATTTAGGGATGTTTATACATACTCTTTATCTGAAAATAATGTGCCTTCAAATTGGAAAATATGGAAATCAGGTTATATCATAATTACATATGAGCAATTCTAAGTATTATATAGTATTGGGGAGATTTTATATGAAATTTAAGAAATATATCGATTTGATTCACAACCACTATAAATGTTAACAAATTTTGATGGAATAGATTCAAATTATATATTGTAACAAAATATCAATGGAATTAAATTATTTATTATTGAAGAAAATAAATACTAATTTTATTAAAAATCCATAAGATTGATTTAATAATATGATCTACCATATTCTAATATAGCATTTCATATAGATTAAATTTAATTGATGTTGATATATGATCAATTTGAAACAATAAATGTTAAGATTGATTATTTAAGGATGGATCAATTTTAATAATGTGAAGATAATATTGAAGAATTACCTAAAATGAATTTATAATCAATTCAATATTAATAAAGATATGAAATAGAATCTTAATAATAAATAAATTATGTTTAATAAAAATAAGATTGTCAAATGCCTTGTGATTTAATATATGAATCTTTAAATATTTCTTTAATTCCATATAAATCAGAATGTATTATTGAATCTTTTTATAATCAATTTATAAATGGTTGCAATAAATTTAATAGTTGTTATGCTTGTATGAAATAAATTGGTTGTGAATGGATTGAAGAAGAATGTTAAATATAATAGAATTAATATAGTTTGAGTTTCAATTAAATTAGAGAAAGTTCAAAATGGTTTAATAATAAAATAATGAATTGTGGTTAGGAAATTGAATTTAATTCAACATATTATGGAAATGTTCCAAAAGGATCAGTATTTACATGGTTTTATGATGCTAACATATATTAATAATTTAGTTTATTTTTTAATTTATAATTAGATAAATTAACAAATAAAAATTTCATTTAATAAAGCATATGTTTAGGAAATGATACATAATAATTATGTGATTAAATTATGATAAGTGATTATAAATCTGATTTTATATTCAAAGGTTATTATTTTAGATTTACAATTGTGATATTGGAAGATATATTAGTAAA